TCGCATAAATGTACTAGGTGCATTAGTTAAACCAAAATGCATGACTAACCACTCATATAAGCCAAATTTAGTTTGAAAAGCTGTTTTACATTCATCTCCTAGTTTCATTCTGATTTGGTGATAACCACTACGCAAGTCAACTTTGGAGAACATTTTAGCACCACTTAATTCATTAAGCATATCATCTAACCTAGAAATAGGGTGACGATATCTAATGATGATATTATTAATAGCCCTACAATCAACACACATACGCCATGATCTATCTTTTTTTGAACCAAAATAACCGAAACAGCTCAAGGACTAAGGCTTTCACGTATATACCCTTTGTCAAGCAAGTCCTGCACTTGACGTGCAATCTCCTTAGTCTCCTCAGGATTGATCCTATATGGTGCACGATTAGATAGGGAGGCACCTGGTATTAGATCAATTTGATGTTCAATTCCTTGGATTGGTGGCAGCTCAGGTGGTATTTCCTTTGGAAACACATCTCCATACTCCTGCAAAAGATCAGCAACAGCAGGAGGCATAGAAAGAGGCATATCCTCATATGAAAATAATGCTTCTTTGAACATTATAGCATAGCAAATAGAATTACTTGCTGTCATCTCAGTAATTTCAGATTTTGTAGCTAGTAAAACAGGGCCTTTCAACATAATTCCATCTTTCTTAGCATTAGGTTCTTTCTTTTTATTTGAAGCAAGTTCCTTAGCTATAACTTGATTTTCATTTTTGCTAGTTTTCTTGTTCTCTCTATTAGCTCTTTCTATTTCATCTTTTAGAATAGCTTCAGGAGACATATGCAGCAAAGTAATTTTCTTCCCTTTAAACATGAGCGTGTACTAATTGGTTCTACCATGATGCAAGGTATCTCTATCATGTTGCCATGGTCTTCCTAATAACAAAGAGCATGCTTGCATTGGAACCACATCACAATCAGCATAATCATAATATGAACCAAGTGAAAATTGTATCCTCACAATATGAGTTACCTTCAGCTTACCACAACTGTTGAACCATTGAATATAGTAGGGCCTAGGATGTTGTTTTGTGGTTAAGCCAAGCTTCTCAACCATGTCCATGCTTGCCAAGTTGTTACAGCTTCCGCCATCAATGATCACCCGACATGATCGGTTGTTGATGACAAATTTAGTTTGGAACAGATTGTGGCTTTGACTCTGTTCAGCTTGTTCCATTTGCTCGCTAAGCACACGCTGTACAATGAGACTCATATATTTATCTGCTGATTCAGCACCATACTGCTCTTTCTCTTCCTCTTCCTCATTATCATGATGATTACCTACAGGGTCAGTTGCAAGCATAATATATTCTTCCTCAATATCACTAGCTTACGTGTACTCACCATTGTCTTTGATTAGAAGAGCTCGCTTGCTAGGACAGGCCCACATCATGTATCCATAGTCCTTACAGCGATAGCATTGTGTATCTCGTGATCTTCCTGTTGAATTAACTGACGAGGAACTTGGAGCAGGGGCTAGTGCTGAGCTCTTGCTTGCCTCAGGCGCACCTGTAGGTGTAGTAGAGGAAGTAGACTGCACACGGTTGTTGGAGAAGCTTGGTGTAGGTGTGCGGCTGGAGAAAGTTGCGGACGTCTTTGCTTGCCTTTGATTTGGCCAACTTGTAGGAATAACCCTAGAAGGGCCCCTTATCCTTTGCCAGTCCTGCACTTCTCTTTCAGCTTTACAAACAAGGTAAAATAAACAAGTGATAGAATTATATTCTTTATAACCAAGTATGGTCCGAACTTCCCTGTTAAGCCCCCCAAAAAATCTAGCCATCTTAGCTTCCAGTGTTTCTTCTAACCCACAACGTAGCATACTAATTTGCAATTCCTGATAATATTCTTCTACAGTGTTTTTACCTTGTTTCAAGCATTGTAATTTATTTACTAAATCATGAGAATAATATGAAGGTACAAAACAGGTTCTCATAACTCGCTTCATATCCTCCCAAATAGTAGAAACATCCCTATTTGTACGACAGCATTCTTGCCACCAAATAGATGCAAAATCAGTAAACTCACTAGCAGCTCTAATTCTTTTATTATCAGGGATATCATAACACTCAAATTTTTGTTCTATGGTCATTTCCCAAGTGAGATATGCATCAGGATCATATTTACCAGCAAAAGGAGGTATTGATAATTGTATTTTCAGTAGAAGATCATCACGGTCTCGTACCTCTCTGCGGCGGTGGTGGCGTCGATGTGCATGGTCGCTATTTGTATTAACCACATCATCTAGTTCAGTATCCGCAGCATAGTCATCAGTAGCACGAGATGTTGTGGCAAAAGATAATTGTGCTTATTCAAGTTGCACTATGCGAGAGTCGAGGGCTATGATGATTGTGTTGGTGCTGTTCAAAGCCTCTCTGTTCTCGTTCACCACTTTTGTGATGTTTTCAGAATGTTCATTTAGCAAGCGTGCCAAGTAATCCCTAGTTGCTTGTGTCTTTGGTGTGAGGGGTTCGTCTTCCTCACCTTGTTCACCTGCCATTGTTAGCAACAAACAACAAACAATACAACAAGATTATATGTGCCTACCAACTACTAGGATGTGGAAAGTGGAAATTCAAAGGCACTCAAACTCAAACTCTTACCAAATACTTACAGGTTCTTACCAAAATCAGTAGGTGGTGCAACTGGTAGCTGGGTCAGCCTTCAACGATCTTTAGGGTTGAGTTCAGCCAATGCAAGCTTATGTTACCTGAATGGCCAATAGAGAGTGTAGCTAGGGCAGGTTTATTTATGTAGCAAGGATTAGACAAAATCAAATCAGTAGGTGTTAAATTGAAAATCTGCTCAAAGTCGTAGTCAACATTGCTAGCCCTATAGAAGACTAAAAGCTGGTTAAGAAGCTTAGAAAACAAGGGATGGCAAAAAGAGTTGCAAGCCTGCAACAAGGCTACCACTTTTTTTAGAAGTGCAACTCAATCACAGGCTATAACTAACTTAGTTTTGGCGAGGAAAACCAAAAGTAGAACAGCGAAACAAGTGCACACTTGCTGTTATTCAAATGGTCTAGCACTGGAACAATCCAGACAGAATATAACTCCTCTCTTTCTTTCTTTCTTTCTTTCTTTCTTTCCTTTTTTTTAACTCTAGTGCTGTATTTACTGCAGCCTAGCACTTGCAGCTAGACAGCTATCTCTCAGTTGCTATTCCTTTTTAGCTTTCACACTAAGGTTGCCAAAGACTTTTTAGCTTTCACACTAAGGTTGCCAAAGACAAATTTACTTTCTCTTCTTTCTTTTTCAAGATAGATCTCAACTAGAAGCTTTAAGCAAGAACTATGACCAGCAACTTAACATATGACAATGCAACCCAAAGATTCAACAAAACATAAACTGAAAAGCGATTGCAAACTAGGCTCAAACTGGTTTGGATAGGATGTGGCAAACTCTTTTTTTTATTATAGGTAAAAGAACACTACTACTAAAAACTAAGACTCACCGATTAACCTTTGCTTCGAATACCAGTTGGCGTGACACTTTAGTGGCCCAACCTTTTGGTGAGATGAGATGCCTTCCAATTGTGAGGGTGACTCACACGATCCAGGCTACTAACTAAAAGGTTCAAATAGCCTAGCAACCGCTGAACCAACCCTTGAGATGTTATCAGCCTAGCCAAAATTAAGTTGGCCTGTTCCTACAAGAAATGGAAGAAAACCAGCAAGAACATAGTGCAAGCAATCTGAAATTGTAAGTATGTAGTAAAATATTAAGATAGGGCTTCGAGTAGAGATTGGTCTGTTGGTCTAACCGATACAAAAGACAAAACAAGCAGTAGTTTCCAAAGGAACTGAACTGAACTAAAACAAAAACCAACTCTTACATATAGAGGTACCCCTCCTTTTATAGTCAAAATGGCTGCTGCTGCAGTACATTCTACCATAATGTACCGGCCACAGCTAAGTCTATTACTACCGTTAATATGGAGGCTATTCCATGAATCTAGACAACTAACAAGTAACAAACAAATAGTTTAGCCTACTATACTCTAGTTGGCTGCAAACGGTGACTGCCTGTGGACAGCCACAAATACAGCACAAAATATCAGCTCAATTATCTCTGTCTTCAACTCCAAGGTTCCTGATTAGGAGCACATTTCGATCTCTTCTTGTGTAAAATTTGTGAATTGCTGGCTTAGCTTCAGGTGGTGGAATGGATGGTACTATGGCTGTAGATGGTGTGGTTGTATCTGTAGAAGTGATGTCCTCATCATCCTCCCCTCCTTGGAATGGAGTCGTCCTCGACTCAAGTTCATCTTCATTTCCCATGTATGGCTTCAAATGTTTTGAACAGAAAAAAAACAAAGAGAGATTAGAGAAAGAATGATGTAAAAATTGCCTAATGTTTGGAATTATTTTGCCTTCGTCTTGCCACAATATTGCCTGGGCGGAGTACATTTAATTGCTTATTCCCAATGAAGTTTAGTGACTAATCAATGCACATGTACATTTAGTTGCTCTAAAATGCTGATTATTGACACCTCCATAAAACCTAACACCACAGTCAATTCAAGAAGCACCGATCAACAGTAGCTAGGCATTGCTCCAAATGTGGGAGAACCCCAAACAAATGGAGAATCAACGTCTCCAATTTTTATTTAAGGGACAGGACATATATTTTCTATGAAAAGCCATGTAGTGGAGTATAGCAGTAAGTGAGCCCCAAAAGTGTGGCTGCAAGTGAGAAACTACCACTTATGTACAAAGAGTTCAATACTTAAAGCACCAAAGGACCCCATGGACCCAAGTTCTCCTTGATCCAAACCAGAAAGTCCTTTAAAATCTACCAATGTAAACTTAAACCAATAAGTACCTGATGTGGAAGTTAAATTAATCTACATTTTAAGGTCCATAATCTTAAGATTTATAGGCAACAAGAAAGCGAGAAGGGAAGTACGAACTTCGTAGCGTGCGTTCACATTATGTGCCATAATCTGAGACTGTTGTATCCACCAACAAAATTTCGTGTCTTTAGTCTTCATTACTGTTTTTCTGATAAAAGAAATACAATAGTAAACAGAACCGAATTAAGGAAGTTTGAATCTTTTGCTTCTCTAAAACTAAAGCTTCTGTGATTTTGTCTCAAGAAGTGAGATGCGGATGATAATTGGACGTGTAATAACAACAACAACAACAACAACAACAACAAAGCCTTGCCCACTGCCTCACTGCATTCTCATGAGCATCCAATTGCAGGTAGAGTTACAAACCTTGTGGCTAAGAAAGCTGTAGCTTTAGCTACACGGATTGAATAGGCAATCAATAAAACGAGAGCCTGCAAGCTCTCACGACTAGCCAAGCAACTTGCAGGTATAAGTATTTATTACTATACTACTACTTACCTCATCTTCAACATACATATTGTTATATTGACTTAGTGTAAATAATAATAAAAAAACAGGCCTTAATATCAAATGTGTAGTTGCCACAAGAACCACAAGATATCTGATGACTCTACGAACGACCTTAGAAGAGGAGCTGAGCTACCTAACAGATGTTCAGATAACCTGACGATGTAAATATTTGCCCTGTTCGCTTGGCTGATAAGCTATGGCTGAAAGTACTGTTGGCTGATTTGTTGAGAGAGAAATACTATTCGTTGGCTGAAAAAGTACGGCTTCCCAGAATAGTACTCCAGTAGTACTATCAAAAATACTACTCTAGCCTACTGACGCTTAGGGGGGCATCATGTCATATTTTCTACCACAATTAGACACTAACATGGCCAGCTAATCTGAGTAGCATTGCTTGGATACAATACAAATGTACAACTGCCTAACACAATGTGGTCATCCACTGATACAGTGGTAGGCTCCAAATAGGGTGCGGCAAAACCGCGCCGGTTTTTCTAGTGAAATACTAAAGAACTAACGAACAGGAGTGCACAAATGGCAGACGCACAAAATTTAGAAAGTTCACCTAACTGTGTACATCCAGGGAAGAATTTAGAAAGTTCACCTAACTGTGTACTTCCAGGGAAGAAACATGACTGTTCTGATCAACACCACTGCCCAAAAATACTACCAGAAAAACAGAATTTGGATATTAACTTGCCTGATGGAGAGCAGCTTTCATGAACAGAACCAGTAGGGGAACCACGACGGTCCTCAGTTGCTTGCATAGGGCCATCCAGCTTTCTGTTACCTTTTGGTTTATCGGAAGCATTTTCCCTATTGGTAGCAGTGACTCTACTTTGGGGGGCAGCTGGGGAAGGTTGGTTGCCCTCTAGCTTCGAAAGGTGCAGGTCGAGACTCCTGAGTAATTTATGTGGGGTTTCAAGGCACTGATATCTTCAAAGACTAGGATTTCATAGTTTACTTAAGCGCGTAACTAAAGATACTTACAGCTGCGGATCCCATTGAATCGTCTTTCACAGATGGGTGCTCCAACAATGCTGGCCAGGTTAATTTACTTTGAGGCACCTATTACATACCATGTAGAATTAGAAAAGAAAAAGGCACAGATGAACTCGTTAGATATGATCTGGTGGGGAAATGCCAGTAATGAGTTTATGACCTTATTGAGTAAACCCTTCAGGATTCAGGAAGCTCTTAAAGTTTGTGCTCATATTATCTGGATATTTTACAGGATCCTAGCATATCGATGAAATCATATAAATCAGTTCTGACAATTTAAAGATGCAAGCACAACAAAATAAAACAACTAAATAAGCCTGGTAACCTTGACAATGTGCCGGATAAGTGCGTAGACTGAATTTGTATAAAAAGGGGATGTCCAACAAACAGTTCATACCTGCTCAACCAAACATTAAATTTAGCTTGATAGATAGATTATCAAACACAAAGCAGAGTAGATGGCACCAAGTTGAACCATGTGCTAAGGCCAGCAGTATTTATTAAGATTAGAACTACATAAGGAATGTGATACAATACCATCCAGAATGTAATAGTATGAGAAGATTGCAAAAGTAATCAAGTCTAGATAGAAAAGCGAAGATGTACATACAAGATGACCCCAAGGGACCATAAAACTACCGGAAGTTGGAAAAGGTTGGTCTGGGAAAATCCCAGATTTCCCCATAACCTTGAGTTCTCTTAATCTACTCAATTTGCATTGCCACAATGAGCCCATGAAGAACAGAACATGTTAAGATATTGTAAAGACATCAGAAATATTGCGAGATCACTAGACCCCTGAACCCTGACATGTTTAGTTTTGCTAGAGCAATTATTCAGTACTGATCATGATGCTTGCTCAACACTTGCCCTACCCCTGTTCTGATTACATAAAAATTGCTTTGCCCTAACCTACCCTATTCTATACTAATATATAATGATCTTCAGGCAATTCTATTGTGGAAACGACACCACCTCATAAGAATTCTAATTAGTAACACAAACTATACATCGCAGCAAAAACCATACATCCACAGACTGCAGAACAATAATGTTTCGCATGAACTCTCCACCACCCACAAATTGCAAGGAATGGATTATTCACCTGTTCTTCCTGTGGAATACCATGCCATAATTTAATCTGGGATAATGCAGCATGCTCCATGTTTTCAGTAACAAAAACACCCTGAATGAAAACTGAACTGTAATAAGTAAGCTAAGTAAGGCAGGTTATCAATTTGTGCGAAAACTCAAGAACAAAAAACACAGTAAGCTAAAGTAAGACAGGTTATCAATTATCACAGGATTGAAAACTTGAACTCAGTCACAAATTAACCAGATCTGAACATGCCTAATATGCTCTTATCAGTTAACACAAGCTCAGTAGCTCACCATTAGTCATGTCGTCAAGCTTGGAGCCTTAAGGCTTGGAGCAGAGCAGCAGGTTCTGGACTCTGGAGTTGGAGACTTGAGCGTCGACTGCTCACTGCTGGAGCAGAGTAGCAGGCAGCAGACTAGCAGAGGCAAAGCAAGCAGGGCAGCACCTGCAGCCCACCGCACCCATAGGGCCGCAGCACCCGACGGCCGCGCACGCGCATCACGCACCGGCCGCGCCGCACCCCGCAGGCCACAGCACCCGCCGACCGCAGCAGGCAGCACCCGGCAGCGGGGAGGCGCGGCGACGCAGGCTGCCTCTGCCTCGGCGAGGCGGCGGTTCTCGGCCTTGCGCGTCGCGGCCTCGGCTCGCTTCTCCGCGGCAGAGCGGGCCGCCTCCGCCTTGGAGTTCACGTCCATCTTCTTCGGCATCACGGGCCCCTCGTGCGGCGACTGGCGGCGCGGCGTGGGGTTGGTGTGGCAGCTGGATGGGCAAATCCTCTACCAATCACACACCAAACCCACCCACCCCAACTACGAGTTGGGCTCGATATCGAGGCAGTCTCGGCTCGTTAATATTACGAGTGAGAAGGACAGTTCGGCTCGATTTATTACTGAGCTTGAACTGCCTTATTTAGCTTGCGAGCTATTAAAAAAATATGATATATATATTTATAATATTTATGCTATATTAATTTTAGAAGGAAATATACACGGTTATGCAACCATACATGATTAATACATATTAGGTTTATCAAAAATATCAACCATGCAACATAGTTGATCCATCCGTGATCATACAACTCCAGCATACTAATCAGTTGCTTACCACCACAAACTTAGAAAAATCCACATATTCACCATGTTCGCTTGATCGTTTATGTGGCTTATAAGCCGGCCGATGCTATTTTGTTGTGAGAGAAAAACATTGTATCATGGCTAATAAGCATGGCTGATACGATCAAGCGAACATGGTGATTCAATGTCAGCATTATCATCTTCTCCCTGAAAAACAATCCATAAAATTAATATTTAAGTACCACAATAATTATAAAATTAAAATTCATATGAAACAGCTGAAAATAAGGATTACATATGAATATGTGCACACTTCTAGGTCAGCATCATCATCTTCTGGATTCATTGTCGTGGGTTGATAGGCCTTAGCTCGTGAGCTGGCTCGTTAAAATAGCAAGCTAGACTTCCAGTTCAACTCGTGAAAAAGTTAAAACGAACCGAATCGAGCCGAGCTGAACCGGCCACGAGTCAAGCGAGTTGACGAGCCACATGTATTTCGTCCAGCCTTACCTACAAGCACGATCTGCATTCCCCTCCGAGTGAAATCGCCTAGATCGAACGGGATATGGAGAAGGGGAAGAAGAGAACCCTAGAGAGAGAGTGAACTGACAAATGGAGACGACGGGAACGGGAACGGCACGGTGGCTCTTTCTCTTGCTATTGGACGCGCTTTAGGCCTTATTCGACTTGCTGAAACTTAGCTGAAAGTGGCTGAAAAACATTGTTCTGGCTGAAAATGTTGTGAGAGAAAAACACTGTTCCGGCTGAAAAAAGAAACCGGACACGCCGAATTTAAGATAAGCCGAATGAGGCCTGACGCGTCAGTGGCAGCAGGGGGCAGCGATAAAATGACGGCCGGCCAAAACAAATTACCAAGAATATATTTCTAAAAAACAATATGATGCCCAGAAAGGTATCTATTTTCATTTGAATTTTGTTGAAATCTTCTGTTTGTCACCACTTATGTACTAGCTTCATCGGAGGAAGTGCAATTTTAGCTTTATCCCTAGTTAAAACTTTCTAAAATTTGATCAAGTTTATATAAAACAATACAATATTTATAACACAAAATAGATATTATATTCTATATAAATATATCTCATGACAAACCTAGTTGCATTTATGTAGAATCATAAACATTGATACATTTTTATGTAAATAAACTTTGTCAAATTTATAAGGCCCCTTTGATGTACGGGAAAGTTCATTGAATATTGTGTTTTTCTGTAAAAATTGGACTAATTCTTATAATTTTTTTTTGGACGGTCGCTGTAAAAATCCTACATTCTGAAAGAGATCTTGATTATTTTACTTGATACAATGTTAGAAATATATATTTTCCTCGACTAATTGAGTATATATTATTTTTAGATAATGGAAAAAGAGTTCCAGTTTCATACTTTTTTAGTGAAGAAGAATTGGTCCACATTTGTTATAAACACATCCAAAGAAAAAAGTAGGTTCTAAGGGCCTATTTGGATCCCAGTTGTTAAAAATTAGCACTATGCATGTTTGATGCTAATTAGAAGAACTAAAATTGAACTAATTTCAAAACTAATTACATAAGCCGTGGCTACTGGAGAGACGAATCTATTAATTCTAATTAGCCAATGTTTACTATAGCACGATATAGGCTAACCATGGCCAAACTAGAATTATTAGATTTGTCTCACTAATTAGTCACTGCTTATGCAATTAGTTTTAAAATTAGTTCATGTTTGATCCTTCAAATTAGCATTTAAACATAGTGCTAATTTTTAGTACTAAAGATCCAAACAGACCCTGAACCCCCCTAGAACACAGAAATTTATGTGAATCATACATAAATTTAGCAGAAATCAGTTTATTTTGACATGAAAAAACATAGAAAATAAGAAAATTTCAGCATTCAAAGGAAACCTAATAAACCATTACCAATCCGAAAGCAAGATGGAGTATATTATGGGAACAAGAGTCTGATACTGCCTGGCTGGTGTGGTTGGGCCCATGCTGTGAGGATTCGCTAGTGTTGGGCCCGACTTACGTACTCTTATATAATTTTCAAAAGACTAAATAGAAAGGGAAAAAAAACAATGAGGCTCTCGAGGAGGAAGACCCAAGCATGGACCAGCTGACCAAACATCAGTCGTGTCCAAGTCGACTCACGCTTTTGACGTGTTTTGGTTGTCCTGATCGCCGAGTGAAACGACGTAGAAAAGGAGTTTGGTTCACCTACATGAACTTTACATTTCTGGCCCGGTGGTGTGGAGTTCTACGCATGTTATGTATTTTATTATCTACTTAAAATTATATACAACATCTTGTTTTTTCTAGGTTACCAGCTCTTGATTTGATTAACCAGCTCAAGAAAATACAAAAAAGCTAATAAAAAAAAGAAAATATAAAAAAGGTGCGTGAACTCCTGTTCCAGGGGTGGGCCACATGTCAGATGGATAAGGTATATCAGGCCCAAATAAAAACATGGCACCATCGCCCCAGATTCCGACCACGATACGTGGCGGGCAGTCGCAGGGGAACAACAACATCAGCATCCGTGGGACCCCGTGAGGATTCGGGAGTCATGTGTGTGTCCTGACAGCGACACGTCGGATTGCTCCCTGGGTCCCACATCCCCGATGACGTGGCATTCCCGGACTTCTACTGCGGCTTGTCTGATACGGTTCTAAGGCCTTCACGTCGAGAGTGATGCCCAAAAGAGAGAGAGAGTCCCTGGGCATCCCCAACACCGCAACAAGTGATGACGGTAGCAGAAAAGTTGGAAGCGGTGAATCTTCCGGTGCAAAACATAAACAATAATTGTTCACCGTGAGCGCGCTGTCAGAGGAACGGAGAAAGGGAATTTTCCTGAACGAAGAAGGCAACGAGAGTATTTTATTAGAGGCTGGGTCTGTAAAGTGTGACGGCATCGCTCCCAAAAATCCCACGGTTCTTGAGTGGGCGGTGGTGCCTATTAATCCTATAACGGGCCCATTTATTTTGGGGCACCGCTCCCACACTACAGACGGCCTAAACCCCCTGCCTGTCAACCGAAAGTGACATTAGAGTCACAGGTACATGACATGTACACAACGAGTCCCTTGGGTCATCAGCTATCCTAGCATCAGTTTCCCTTTTCAGTGGAAGCAAAGTTGTTTTTATTATTTTGTTATGCGTGTAGCATTCTCTAATCCTGTTTCGTCATCCCGGTTTTGCAAGTTTGTAACTCCACTGATTTCCCGGAATTTTCTTTTTGTATATAAAATTCCAATCCAATGTCACCGCTTTGATAGAGGTCAATTCTTTGTCTACACTGCTCAAGTTTTGATAATATTCCCATTTTTTTCACAACAAGTTCTTATTATTTGAATACATACGCTGATGGAGCCTCCCGACCCCGACCCCGACCCGCTCCTCCCCTTTCTCATCCCCGCCGCCCCTGCACCTAACCCACCCAGATCCGCATCATCCCCAGCTCCAATCCTCCATCAATCGCAAGATCCAAATCCCCCACCGCCGGATCTACACACTGATGGGTCTCAAGCTGAAGCGCATCCAGGAACCAGTGAGAGCGAAATGCCAGAAGACCGGGTCCATGGAGGACCGAATTCGCCGGCGCCTCCGCCGCAGTCGCTGCTAGCTGCTCAGTCGCCACCAGCTCAACAGCCGGCACCGGCTCTAGCTGCTCAGTCGGCACCAGCTCAACAGTCGGCACTAGCTCAAGCTTTCCCTCTACCGGCAAGCCCAACACTGATCGACCCTGATCTGCAGGAGAGGGGCTGGGCGCTGCTCCCAGATTTGGCAAAAGATTTAAACAAGTTCAAGGAGCAATGGGCAGGCATGGAAGCGAGAGATAGCAGACCCGTCATCAATCCTCCAGATCCACCGGTGATTTCACACAGCAAAGCAGCCAGCCAAGAGATTCATTCAATGGTACAAGCTCACAAAGAAGGTACCGTCAATGAGGCTACAATCCTCCGCTCCAGGATTCTAGAAGGCCTAAAGGGGAAACAAATTCAAGAGGGGGCAGCATTCATGGTGGCCAGCAACCGTTTAGCTTTTCAGAGCCCCCGACCTCCTCCTCAGCCATGCCGGGGAAGACGGCCTCTGCCTCTCTACTTGGAGCGTCGAGCTCACGCCAGAAGGAGCATCAAATGAGCTTTACCACCAATGAGGATGGATGGGAACTGGCTAGGGCATCTCACAAGCGCAGTGAGGCTAACACAGAGGCTAAGGCAATTCAATCCTCCAACCTACCAAGATTCAAAATAGAGGGTTTCGAGTTCTTCAGAAAGAAGATGGAGGGGAGATGCTTTAACTGCTTTTCCCCAAATCATATTGCACGCTTCTGCCACTCATCCCACAGATGTTGGAAATGCTTCCATTCTGGACACAGAGCCAACGAATGCAGCTCTGAGGTTTCAACTCAACACCATATATCTAGGACCTCCCAGCAGCACAAGACGCTCACCCACAAACCCATACACAAGCTCAGCACCTCACCAGCTTCTCCCGAGAGGGATCTCCGATCCTACGCGGAGGTGGTCCGTGGGTCGAAACCCATGGCGGCAAGGTACCCAGGTGACCAGCGTGTGAGGCCGGCACACGACTTCTATGCTATGGCGGCAACTGGCTCCATCAAGCGCCGCCGTGACGAC